GGACCCCGAGGGCCAGAGTTGAGAGCGTTGTTGTAGTAGTATACATTTTGAGAATTTTGAGAACGTTTGAGATTTGACTGTAATTGATGCTGTAGAACAAAACATGAAAAACCACAAACCATTTTACTCATAAACCTAAGATTCCAGAAATGGTTTGATTACCCTTGATATACTGAATACGAATAGAACTAAGAAAGGAAACAAAGGAAGCAAAGGGAATTTCTTCATTTTGAGATGGATTTGAAGTAGGACATAGGAACTAATTATTTTAACATCCTACAATCAATCTGAGAGAAGCTGCCTAGGCTGATTTTTGATAGTATTTTCCCCAATGGAGGTCTTTGTCCAGCTATTTGCATTTAGAGATAAAATGCAGATGCTTGTGAAACCTTGATACATGAGACAAATCAGCAATTATTTCTATTGACCTTCATTTCCATGACCAAAGGGGAAGAGAACATTGAGATATGCTGATGATTAAGGGCAGCTCTAGGCTGGTTTAGCTGGAAGGGACACACTCACTTGAGACAACTAGTAGCTACTGGGAATCCTGAATCTTGAAAGAGTTTATATAAGACAGCAAAGGCTCACTTGCACTATTTTTAGCCATTAAATGTTTCGTTTTATAATCTTCATTTTATTTTGGTCATAACACACACAGACTACCATCATACTGAACATTGTTCTTGACATACTGTAGGTGAATTCAGGTAAACTGGAAGACGTTTTGCCATTGAGATGACTGGGACAAATATGTCCCAATTTACCTAAATTCACCTTATATGACATCTATAAATCACACTATATCTTGTTTTTTAAAACAGAATTGAAGAAGATAGACAGCCATGTATACAGGAAAACTAGGCTATATTGCAATAAATTCAAAGTGCTAATGAAAATGTAGTACAGTCAAAATTGGTATATACACTACCAGTCAAAACTAGGACCAAGTAAGCATTTATTTAAAATAATATAGGGAAATACTATTATAATTTGAAAATGACTATTTTCTATTTTAATATGTTTTAAAATGTAATTTATCCCTGTGATTGCAAAGCTTCAGTCTTGAGTGTCAGATGATATTTCAAAAATCATTCTAATGTGCTGTTTTGCCGCTCAAGAAATATTTCTTATTATCATCAATGTAACAAAAAAAATAATAATAAACACCTGTGCTGCTTAATATTTTTATGGAACCATGATACTTTTCCAGGATTCTTTGATGAATAGTAAGTAAAAAAAGAAAGAAAGAAGAAAGAAAAAAATCATGTGTGAATGGTAGTGTAAATCTCTATATCTCGCTAACAGCAATGAATATATAATATATACATACGCGCGTGTGTGTATTGAACAAACGGATAGCATAACAAATGGCTGTGCACAGTTATTGACAGTTTATCACAGTTTATATGCAGTTGAAAGCTAATAAATGCACATTCTGAGCAATGTGACATGGTAGCTTTCTCATTTCACCATGTCTAATGTATTCAGACCCAATCACTCTGACAGTCCACCTGAGAGCTGACTCAACTTCATACGCCTGCAACACCCACAGGCCTGCTGCTCGCACACAGGAACTTAAGTCCATTTACTCGGTTTTTCTCACTGTGCCTCCTCTATTCTTCTCGTCCATCTTTTTTTTTTTTTGTCTCTCTCTCTTTCCCCCTTCATTTTCTTCTTCAATGTCCTCATCTCTGGCTGCCTGCTGGGAGGGGTGTTGAGAAAGTTAATTTTAGTGTTGGCCTTATATGCTATGCTTGGCCTGTCTCAGTCAGCACCTGCCCCATCTTTGATACGGGGTGACAGTCTGCTGGATTCATCTGCCCAGGAGCTGTCAGTCAAACGGCCATTCATGGGCATTGTAGTCAACACAGACACCCCAGAGCTCCAGGCTAACCAGAGCCAGGTCACACATGACAAATTACGAGGAGACCCTCATTCATTTTTCTCATAATAAGTTAGTGATTATATTGTCTGTCATACAGACATGTGATGTGTGAATAGAACTGAATGGGCAAGTGGTGAACCGAGCCAAATTTCACTGGTAAAAAGACAATAAAGCTATGATTTCCCTTACAAATGAATGCTACTGTCACAAAGCAAGGCCAGACACAACAGGTAAGTGCAAATCAGGATGGTTTATTGACTGGGTAAGGGGATGACTGAAATAGGTGAGTTAAAGGCAGGTGAGTGTCAACACAGTGAATGGTTCCAGGGTGCTTATCTGAGTTCTGATGGTGAGGATCGGATGCCGGTTACGTTGGAGATCGTGGAACAGTTTCCAAGGAGTCGTTGGAGGATCGCGGGAGGAACAGCAGGTAATTCGTTCTAGGAGAATTTGGCAGAGAGAGTCCAGAGCAGTTCGTAGGAGTGAACGGTAGACCGGACAGTGAGTGACTGTGCTGTGTGTGTATTTGTAGTGTGGCTTGATTGGTGACAGCAGGTGCGGGTGATCAGAACTCAGGTGACTGTGATCGGGTAATTATTCTGGATGGTGACTGAAGTGACTGTGATGAATCCCTGACAGCTACTTGTTGTTTTATCTGATATAATTTTTTTTTCTCTTGGTAAACTAAAAAAAGCAGACTGAATCAGGGTTACACTGTGTTTATTGATAAATGGAGGACGTCATTGATTTCCTGAGAGCTGCACACAGTAAGAGTAAATAATAAATATATGTTTGTATAATTTAAGTTTGATATTTTTTTCAGGTGATTCAGAGGGTATTAAAACTTTATATTTTATTACATATGGCACTAGGAAGGAAATTATTTCTAATATACATACCTGCAGTGGTAATTGAGTAATTTTTAATTTTGCTGAAAGCTGCTGAATATTTTAGTGTCAGCACATCTTGACTCCTCTCAGGAACTAAAAGCTTTTTGACTGATCATGAACTTAGGAAAACTAAAAGAGAAGAAGATAATATTTCTACGCAGAACTTTACTTATTAATTTATGTCACTTTATCACATAATTTCCCCCTAATTATTACACAGCTCTCCAAAATATTTGATTCTGACTGGTCAATCTAAGCACTCAGTTGTTTGTTCATTTGTTATATTAATAAGCAGGGACATACACAATATAGTCAGTTGGTTATTATAGCAAATGAAACTCAGACAGGATCTTGAAGGATACAAGACCTGATCCTGAGATCCTCCTGTCAGGGTTTATTTTGCGATAATGCCTGGCTGACTGTACATTAGCCCTTACATAAACTTACTTATTCTCACTCTGCTGAATAATATTCCTGTGAATCAGGGGCCTGCAGAGATGTGTTGACTGAAGTGAAATTGTGTTTGTCAGACTAGTGCTGTCACTTGTTTCTGCGTCAGCAGATGAGAAGTGAAACAAGATGTGCAAATGTTCCTTTAAGGGGAAATGGATGACTTTGTTTTAGGTAGGCCTATTTATGAATATTGATAGAGCATCCTCTGGCAAAGAACTGGTTTAATCACATGTTTTGGGAAAATAACAGCATAATTAGCTGTTCTGTGTCATTGTCTGCATATCAGGGAGAGGAATTCTGAATGAGTAATAAACAGAAGAGAAGTTTTTTTTTTCTTTTGCCTGATCATTGTCACTAAATAAAGAAAAAACTCTTTGGTGTTGATGAGAACTCAGATAATTTCTCATCAACATCAAAAGCAAAATCACAAAGCCCTCTGAAATTTTAGAAGTTCTCTCATCCACAAATTTCCTTGGGCAGAAAAAAGAAAGCAGGAACAAAGCCTTTGTTGTATACATCTGGAAATATGAGGTATAGAAGTAACATTATTGAATAGCATTTCTGACAAAAAACACCACAGATTTGACTGCTGTTGTGGGAAAGTTGAAATACTAAAATGAATTATTTTCTCAGGCTGTATGTATATTTGAAGTACACAGAAGCAACGTCAAACCATGAACACTTAAAGTAACATTTTTTAATTGTAATTACACTGTACAATGTGAAATAATTGTTTGATTTGACAGCTTTAAAGGGCCAGTTTACCCAAAAATGAGGATTCTGTGAATATTTACTCACCCTCATTTTGTTCCAAATCTGCATGTTTTTCTTTCCTCTGTGGAACATGAAAGAAGATATTTAAAAAAAAACTGGGAACCAAACAATATTGGAGCCCATTGATTTCCATTGTGTAGATATTGTTCCCAAAATACAGAGTTCTGGCATGAAACTCTAGAGGGCGCAGTCCGATAGGTCTAACTTAATCTGACCTAATGACATCATTATCACATGGCACAGCTGACTGGTTCTCTCCTGTATCGGCAGCCAATGAGCTTGCTGCTCAACATTCAAATAGATGACTAGTGCTTGCCGTAGCAGTTGCAGCTTGCTTCAGAAACCCTCCACCTTCCCCAGCTCCACCTGTATAGATCTGCTACGAGGGGATTCGTGTATGCTATATGGGGGTTATTCATGTATGTTATATTTGCAGCAGCAATATTTCTTACATGCTCACAGCAGCATGTTGTGGATGTATTGGCAGTAGCAAGTCTCGGTACTTGCTCTGCCGCAGCCGCAGCAACCGCAGAGTAGCAGATCTATTCCGCCAAGGCCAAATACATTAACATTGTCATGTACATTACCATGCCAATCCCTCCGCGAGTTGTCATGACAGAAATATCTCTTTTGGTGTTCCACAGAAAAAGAAAGCCATAAAGTTTTGGAACAATACAAAGATGAGTAAATAATGACCAATGTTTATTTTTGGGTGAACAATTCCTTTAAATGTCAGTCATAAAAAGAGCTGAAAAATATGTTCTTACTCTTCTAAACAATCGACAAGCTAAAACTAAGAAACAATTTGATAACTCAGTATGTAATGTCCATAATAAGGATTTTTTATTGAATGTTTCTAAGTTTCTAGTTGAAAGTGTTACATTCTTTGCAGAATCGAGTATTATAGCTGAACATCACTGCTACGCACTGGAAGTTGCACAAACAACATTTAAATAGAGCTTTAAAAGTCCATGAATATCTTTATCTGAGGCCGAGTTTGAGTTTAATCATGATTGTTTTACAAATGGAGGAGTGTAATGCTGACTGACATCTCCAGAGGCACTCATCTTTTGATTGAAATATATAAAAGCCATTATTTCACAGCAATACTACGGCGATTACAGATAAGTGTAACTGCAGAATCAAAGTTTTCCTCTCACCTCAGGATTCGTCGTCAGTTTGAATAATGTGGAACAGCGTGACGTTGAACAGTACCTGGTGGCCATTGTTCCAGCCGTAAAGTGCACGATCCCTGGCGTTGTAATCCAGCATGGACATGTGAAAGTATTGGTTATGGATGGGGATGTCCATGTACTCATAGGTAGAGGTTTTGGTGGAATAAGAGTAGTATACCTTAGCACCGGTCAGGTGGGAGTTGGTGATGTACAGCGTGCCGCAGATCATGAAGGACTCACCTGCGTTTCGTTTGGAGTATTCTGTGTTCCAAGAGTTTAGCACCTGGATGGTCAGAGGATCCAGCTGGCTGATCACTATATTCCCTGCATTCTGATTGGTGGCATAGATGGCCCATAAACCGAGTTCATCTGCCATCAGGTCAATGTCGGAGAATCCGCCCCAGGTGTACGGGTAGACGTTGTGGAAGCCGGCGGACTCAAGTGCTCGTTGGGTCATAACCCGGCCACTTTCAAAGCTGTATCTGACAATGATGTTGCTCTGGTATTTGTTGTAATACAGGGAGCCATTGTAGACCATGTGATTAGTTCCCGCCCAGTGGAACGGAAGGTTGTAGGTTCTTGACTCGACCCCAGACACAAAGTCACTTACTGATTTGTACTCACGGACAATCTTGTTGTTTGTATAGCTGTCCATGTACCAGACCTGCATTAGAACATTACAAATGTGACAAATAACATTTGAAACTTGTATTTGTATGCATCATTCAACATATGAAGTTAAACTCCATACAGAAATGGATTTTTATAGATGAACCCTTTAAGACACCTCACCATGAGTTATTCTTCAGCAGAAGTCAGTGTGACATGAAAATGAAACTTAAAATGTAAAAAAAATTGTTTAACAGCTGCATGGAGTGCACAAACCATCATATTGAAGTGAGAAATTATATACATTTATACAGTAAAACTTATATTAACATAGTACAACTATTTTAATACTTTTTAAAATTTGATTTATTTAGTGACAAAGCTGAATTTTCTACATCCATTACTCCAGTCCTCCAGTCCTCAACCTGATATGATCTTTCAGAAATCATTCTAATATTCTGATTTGGTGCTCATTTTTATTAACAATGCTGAAAACAGTTGTGCTGCTTAATTTTTTTTTTTTTTTTGGAAACCATGATACATTTTTTATTTAGAATTATCTGATGATTAGACAGTTCAAAAGAACACCATTAATTACAATTTGGGTAACAACTTCAAGTTTTTATCAATATTAATTCAATATCAATTTAATATGTCCTTGCTGAATACAATAAAATTATAAATTTTGAAGCAAAAAAAACAGATTAAATTATTTATATTAAATTTTAGTTTTATTAATTAATATAAAATAAAAATATGATTAATATTAAATAATTTATATAACATTTTATTTTATGTATTACATTTTTATTTATTTTAATATTAAATTACTGTCTTATATCTTTGTCTCTTTATCTATCTGATTTTTTTTTTGTTGCTTCAAATCAAAGTTTATAAGTTGTGATTGATCTCAGAGCTGGTTGGTTTTGTTCATGTCTTTGACAACTCATTATTTAAGTTTTCTTAAACTAAAAGTTCCTGGAAGAAATGCTGCTGAAAAGTGGGCAAACACTGTGGCATAGTCATAGATTATTACCTTGTTGTTCTTAGGTGAAGCCTGAGGGTCTGTCATCCAAGCTCCAAACCTCGTTCCTGATGTCTTTACAGTGATGGGCCCCGTGATTTTCATCAGCTTACCACAGGCTGACACAATGAAGAATGACAAGTAATGTCAGCTATTATATAAGCATGCCAACACATCTTGAACTTTAAAGGAACACATAACATACTGTATCACACAAGAAAATACCATGAAGTCATGTTGAGTTCAACTCACTGAGTTTGTTCATACAGTTCCTCAGTCTTCCCTCTAAGCCGAGGACCCTTTGCTGGAGCTCCTCATAATCATACGCTCCTATCTCCTCCTGGATAGCAGTCAGCACCAGAGACAGGTTCCTGATCTCCTCCTTGAACTGGGAAATGAGTGTGGCGTCAGTCTTGTACTGCTCCAGCACTGGAATCAGTGGCTGCAGTTCGTTCATCTTCCCCTTCAGCTCCTGCAAAACCAGACAGACATTTAAATAAAAATCACATGAGGAGAGATTTGCTTACATTAACAGAAGCAGATGCAAGAGCACGGCACTGCTTTTCTGGTTAACAGCAAGACTCTCTGAACAATGACATGTTAGACCAAAATGATATTTCGGGTTGGAAATAAAACATGACCTTTAGAGGTTTACAGGATTTCCAGCAATGCTGAACTGCGTGTGGCCTTTTAAAACGTTTGTGAAGGATAAAGACGAGAAGCTTTTAAGTGGGATTTGATTCTTCATTCTTGGAGAGTAATGGCAAGAATGTGGCTCTTTCAAACCGTTCTGTTCGTATGAGAAAGGAGCATTGATTTTCTCTGAGGCATGACTTTAATGGTAGCCCACCTGAAAGTTTTTAGTCAATAATGTTCTTCGGTTCGACTCGATTTGTCTGAACTTTGATCGGAGTCCTTTCATCTGGCTCTCCATTTTCATGACATACTGGAAGTCCCTCTGGGTCCTCAGGTTCAGCACTTCGATTGATTGCGACATGTTCTGAATCTTAAGAGAGGAAGATGGGCCGAAATGAAGTTAGGATCCATTAATCATACTTTGAACTGCAAAAAGGAAGATGCGATAGATTTAAATGATATTTTCAACTGGAGTAAATCAGCCCTGACACCATGTCTCCAAGGATTTCTGCATTTCCATAATTCCACTTAACGCAACCCAAGCAAAGACGGAAAGATCTTAGAGACATACCACCGCTGACACATTTAAAACAGGACAAAAAATGAGACTATGAATCGGTTAACCCTATTACTTCCTTCACTAGCATCCACCAAACAAAGAAAGACACAAATGGGCCGATAACTATTGCAGAATTTTTACAGTAACAGAGAAGAAAAGCGTAGGAAGTAGAAACAAGAGGGGGCCTAAAACACCCTTCAGGCCTTTTTGCATTACCGTCATCTTTATGCTCCTCCACAATCATCTGGAGAGAAGCCCGTGGCATTCTTAATAGATGACAATGGCGCGCAGTCGAGCATAATGCTTTCAAATTGCTAAAATGAGAGCTTTTGTTATCTAAACCAGATCTCAATATAAAGCGACTTTAGAGTTCTCAGACACACATTATGTGCACACACACCTTCTCCAGTAGCTGGCGGAGCTGTCTGCTCTTTGCGTCTCTGGAGCACAAGTTCTGTTCTGGTGCCACCACCGTACAGATGCAGCGGCCGTCGGCATCCTGCGCTGAACTGTACACCTGCCAGCCTTCCTTTGGTCTGATGGTCTGTACACAAATACACACAGGCATGCATGGCATATCTTGGTGTCTTTTGTTTACAATTTAAAATTCTAAATGACATTCTTAATGCAATGAATTTTAATGACATGTAATGCGACATAATCTGATTTTCATGCCTCAAGCATGCTTTAAGCAGCAGAGCGATACTGAAATGTGGATATTTAGTGAGAACTACAATAAACTTGCATGGCACATTATTCATTTTATTATGCTTTTTCAGTTTCTAACTTATTACATTTGTTATATGGAGAGATGATTGAGTAAATATGCATATCATTTGTTTTGTGTGTAAATCTGGGGAGTCTATGTTTTTGATAAAATTAATAGCCTGCCTCAAATTTCTTTGATTCCACAAGCATGGCTCTCATTTATTATGTCCAGCTATCTAGGTAAAATGATTTTAAAGAAATAGTTAACCCCAAACTTTTGCTGAAAATGTACAGTGAGTAAATCAGGCCATCCATTCATCAGAAAAGATTTGGAGAAATGTAGCCTTACATCACTTGTTGACCAATGGATCCTCTGTAGTGAATGGGTGCCGTCAGAATCAGAGTTCAAACAGCTGATGAAAACATCACAATAATCCACAAGACTTGAGTCCATCAATTAAAATCATGTTAACTGAGAAGCTGTGTTTGTAAGACACAAATCAAAAATAAGACATTTTTAACTTCAAACTGCTGCTTCTGGTTAAATGCATGATATTGATTTCTCCGGAGAAAAAGTAATCTCAGCTGAATCAGGAGAGAAATATACGTAGAACAAGCACAGTTTGCAAACATAAACAGCCCAAACCAGCAACAAAACAAACATGTTGGTGGATTTTGATTTGCGTGTACAACAGAAGATTAACTTTTTCACTGGAGGAAATATTATTATGGATTATGGATTAAGTAAAAATCACCTTAACAATGGATAATGGATGCAGCTTTTCGCTTCACACATTAATTGCTGGACTGGACTCCAGTGAGTGATGTGATGTTTTTATCAGCTGTTTGAACTCTGATTCTGACGACACCCATTCACTACTGAGGATCCATTGATGAGCAAGTGATGCAATGCTAAATTTCTCCAAATCTGTTCTGATAAAGGAACAAACTCATCTACATCTTGAGATGACCTGAGGGTGAGTAAATTTTCAGCAAACTTTCATTTTTGGGTGAACTATTCCTTTAACTCTTTGTCTCTGACTCTATAAGACTCTATATGGCTTCATTTGAAATCATATAATAAAATCACAGGAGAAATATCATGCAGTTACTGTGTATTCCACTGAATATTCATTTCAATTCACACTGATTGATCAGAATTCTGAAAGCAATTCAAGCACACGCCACTAAAATATGGCAGGCCATAAATAGCATGATTTGACGACAAATAGCACCCCGTCGGAACACCTTCATGATAAAGCCTCTCTCTGCATTCATCCCCCAAAATTTCCCTAGATTGTCTGCAACAATAGAGGCGCTTTGTAAACACCCACATTCATTTTTTCCACTCTCGCAGTGGGCTCTGAAAGGCCGGCTCTGGGGACTAGCCTTTTACAGGCGAGCTGAAAAAGAGAGTTCTTTACACACTCTGGCACACTTCCTGATGCTGCTGCAACTAACAACTAACTGCAATTTCAGCAAATTGTAACATATCCGAGTTGGATGGGTACTTCCTGCTAGTTTACTGCCATTATGAAATATGAGCAGAGGGATTCTGCTCCTCAAATAAGACCTGCAGCTGGGTTTATTAAGACTGGATGAGAGATCCTCATGACACTTTCACTGATACTACGGATTTCTTTTATTTCCGGTCACAAATTGCATGAAATTCATGCAGTTATTTGGATGTCACATGACAAATAATTGGCCGTGCCTCAACGATGCAGATCTGATCTTGACCCAGTGCTAAAATAGACCCATTAGGCATTGAGTACAGATTAATAGTAGTGCTGAGAATAGACTCTGAACACTGAGGAAGAAAAAACATTTGCTAATTTAAACATTTTATCACTGCCATATACTGTAGATTACTAACGAACTCTCAATTTAACAAAATACATTAATACTATATTAGTATAACAATACTTTAAATTAGGTAAAAATTGACTTAAAATGTATTGCAATGTCCATTTTGTGTACATAAAGTACTACTGCATGTAATTATAAGTTACTCCTACTGTAGTAAACAGCCATCTTAATTGGTTTTACAGTGTAAACCATAATATATTCTAGTATTATAGTTGTAATAGTTTGGAGAAATGAAACAGTGTGGAGAAAATGCAAATCTCATTTCAACACAACATGTACATGAACATGTACACAATACACTGTATCACATGCTTTATATTTTAATGCAAATATATGTAGCATTTAACGAAACACTAGACACTTTATATAAAATGTGAAATAAACCCATTCAAAGCCAATTCTCAATACAGGCGGATGTTTACAACAGCAGAAATAATGCACAATAGACATTAATAATTTAATGAACAATAGCACATTCGCTATAATAAAAAGGTCTAAATATATTATTTGTGACCATTGTACTGCAATCATAGAGGAAGTTATAGAAAATGACTTTTCCGCTTCTGAATCACATTTTTAAAGTATCCCAAATCTATCAGGATTTTAACCCAGTTTAGGTTTTATTGCATGTCTTTTCTCTTTCTCTGAGTTTGCCATTAAAAGGATATTATCGCATAAGTAGAGCTCACTAAACACATTGCTGTCGTTTATCCCTTTGCAGATATCCCGTTCCTATGACTCAGACATGTCAAGTTTGTGTCAGGAAGTCAGGAAGGTGCGCAGCACTCACCGCGGAAGGGCAGTAGCCGAGCAGAGCGAGAAAACACAGCGGTTTCAGCACCACGAACAGCGCCCGCATTCTGCCTCCAGTCTCCGTCTCTCTTCCAACTTGCTTCACTCTTCGATGTTTCAGATCGAGCTTCTTGTCAGTATCTTGGGATCGGAGACCCTAGATAGAGCTGCTGAAAGTGCGTGCGCTGTCATCGTCGCTCCGGGCGCAGAAAAGTTTGAGAGATGTGTGGAGACACTCAGCGGATATTACATCATTACAGCATTTCTGTGCGGGGTTACTCATTCATTACCCGAACTAAAATATATCAAGTTACCAAGAGTAACTTAAAGAGATAAAATCACGACTTTTATAGCTGTACAATGTCAATAAAGATTAAACATAATCAAAATGTCCATTCGATGTTGCTCACTATAGGGATAGAAATCGTAAAGAATCGAACGATTCTGTTTCCTAAAAAAAATACAATTAAAGATTATTTTAGAAATTTAGAAGAAAATATTTTTGGAATTAAGAATTGCGATTTAATTGTATCTTTTTAACGTGACTTAAATGTAATAAAATCGGTCATAACTAAGTTATGAAACAAAAAGGTGGTAACATCATTCATGTTTTTTAAACCACCAGTGATTACAGCAAAACACATAATGTGTATCTTTCGTTCCACATTGTTATGCGAACAACCATTCAGTAACTTACAAGGCTATACCAATTTCGGCTTTATTTCCAGTAACAAATAACTAATATGCCTATCTTGTGGTCTATTAAGTGACTCAGATTCAGAATTCAGTAATTGCCCAACTAAAGGTTCACACTAAGAACAACAATTATTAGGATAATAACTATTAAGTTTGCATAGAATGCTGAAGTCCACCCCACACGTCTTGGTTCAGTGGCGTCTATTCACCAAAAGCCAAGGTATGGCGAACTTCAATGACGTCATCAGATTCCTTCAACGTGACAATAACTGTGTGTGGTGCGTCCAAAGATGAATCACATACAGCCTAGCTTTGATCATTACACAGCAAATGGGAATAAACCACTTTAAAGTATTATAGCTACTTTTCATGGAAGTTCCAGTAGCCACATTTTTTCCCCCAACACTTTAAGCTCAAAAGACTGAATATTATCCTATTTTCAATGTGATGACCAAAACCCATTTTTTAGTTAATCCTTCAAAGGCTAAAATTTTCAGGATGTAAAACTAACACTTTTATTTTAAAATTATAAAGACGTAAAATTACCAATACAACCAGTACATGGATTTTTTTTATAACATTAAAAATCTATTTTTGTCACTTTTTGTACTGAAGTATGAAGTATATTAGGAAAGGTCACAAAGTCTCAAGAAAAAACTTTTTCTTTCTCAAATTGTGAATGAAATGAGACAGCGAGAGAAGAGCGCTTTCTTTATAATAACTGAAGCTGTCAGTCAGTTCAGTGCAAACTCGTTGAGTGCGAAAACTGTTAATCAATGTGACTAAACTTCACAATGAAACTTTTATATACATCGTATATCCACTTGGTTATAATGAGTTAAAACCCATATCCAGCCTTTTCAGATAGGATACTTAGCAGCTGATGAACGATAAAAACACTGACAGCCAATAAAAATCCATTCTTATTTGGGGAGCTTGAGCATTTAAATCTGCAGCAGTGCATGCTTATAATAAACAGAACATTTAGAAACATTAAGTCTAGAAAACTTAAAAATACAAATAATGTATTTTGAAATATGAATATAAATAAAAAAAGGTAAAAAATATAGTTGCATGACATTTCTATTTTATTGTGTATTAATGTACAGCACTATAATAGTAGGAAAGGTAAACTGAAGGTAGCCTAATGTAAAATGTTGCCTCACAATTGCTGTATACATTATTAACCAGGAAAACAAGCATATCATCTACAGACCTGCATATGCTAAAATTGCCTCATCAGAAGTTGGAGCATAAACTTCACTGTGCCTCTGCTCACGTTCTCAATTAGTTGCTTGGCAACATGTGTGGTTAGTCTGTCCTTTTTTTAGAGGTAGGCTTCTGTCTTTATCTGCTCCTTTATCAAAAGAGAAAGCCTTTTTTACTTAAGTGTCATACCAGTTTATAGTCAATGTCAGTGAAATCACACTCATTTACACTGTAAAAAATGTTCACCCCTTTCAACTTAAAAACGTAAGTTTTGTGGCTGCCTTAAAATTTTAAGTTAAATCAACTTAAAAGTACAAGTCATTTCAACTCACTAATTTAAATCTTGCCTAGTGCTGAATTGTTTTATTGAAGTTCATTTGACTTTACAATATTTGCTGTTTCAACTTAAGTTCAAAATGTTTAACATTCATTTTCTAGTTATGATAATGTAAACTTTATTTTAGACCCAGATAAAAAAAATATACTACAGCATTTGTTTGAAACATTACATTAAACTGACTTATAAAAAAAAGTTGAAATTGCTTAAATTATTTTTATGAGTTAAAGTAACTTAAAAACATAAGTTGTCATGGCTTTTTCATCATATCATTTTTTACAGTGTAGAGACATTACTGAACAATTAAAAATAAGTTGGCTTTGAATGATGCAAGCAGTCATTTTAATACAGTAATGCTTCACTGAAACCTGACGGCACCAGCTGGGGCCAGAAACAAATGCCGGGATAAGCAGGGCATCTCTGTGTTCATAGGTATCATGTTAGGTATCCATTTGATGTTTGGTTTAATTAACTTAGCGGCATGTAATGGCAAGTTTTACCCAAGTGCAGCAATAATACACATCAAAGTCCCTTTAAATGGTTATTATTGTATAGACAAGGACATATGAGTATACTTTAAAAACCTGGTCTCCTTTATTGCAGAAGCTGCAGGAGTCACCTTGGTCTTTCCAGGAGGTGCCCACCACCCCGAGCACACATCAATCTAGCTATGTATCAAAGCTCAAAGCAGCTGCAGACAGACATCTCAGAGACTGTCTTCATACCGCAAGCCAACATATGTCAACGAGTAGAGAGAGAGAGAGAGAGAGAGAGAGAGAGAGAGAGAGAGAGAAATCAATAACCATGCCCTAAGCAGTTATCTTTCTCATTATTCTATGCATATACATACAGGCAGATTTTTAACATTTGGATAGAAAAAAGGATGAAATGTGAACTAGAAAAAATACAGTCAGCCAGTCATTATTGCTAAATAAACCTTGTCAGAGAAAGTTTTCTTTTGCATAAGGCACGGTTGACTGTACATTATCCCGCTTACACAGCTACTCATCAAATAAATATATAAAAACATGAAATATTGATCTTGAAATTATATATTAGGCCTGTCTTAAAGCGTTCACTAATAAGCTACAATGTACAAAAACTTACTATCTGTACCTTCTGGATCCATTGCAGTGAATGGGTGCCGTCAGAATGAGAGTCCACACACCTGATAAAAACATCACAATAATCCACACGACTCCAGTCCATCAATTAACGTCTAGTGAAGTGTAAAGCTGCGTGTTTGTAAGAAACAAATACATCACGTCCATAATCTAATAACGCTTTCTCCAGTGAAAAAGTCTATCCCTCCCCAAAATCTACTGACATAACCATTTTCATTTGTAAACAGTGTTTGATCTGTACATATTTCTTTTTTGATTCAGACTGGAGAAAGCAATATTATGGATAGAGAGGACTCACATTTTAGCCAGAAGTGATCGTTTAAAGGTAAAAACATCTTAATGATAGATTTATTTCTTACAAACGTGCAGCTTTCCACTTCACATTTGCATTTACTGATGGACTGGAGTCATGTGGATTGCTTGTGGATTATTGTGATGTTTTTTTATCGGCTGGTTCATTAGTGAGCGAGGGATGTAGAGCTCCATTTCTCCAAATCTGTTCCAATGAAACTAACTGACATCTTGGATGGCCTGAGGGTGACTACATTTTCAGCAAATTTTCATTTTGGGGTGAACTATTCCTTTAAAACCCTGAAAGGCATTGACTGAGACAATAGATGGCACCAGTTGTGTTTGTATGAAACAAGAGGGAGCAAGACGTTTGTGGTGTGAGATGAGAGACATGTAAGTAGTGCCGGTTTCAGTTACCCAGCTCAGTGTTCATATGGACAACTGTGATATCAGGAAATGGATAGCGTGACTGACAATTAATAATGAAGTATTCCATTGAGCTGTGTACTAATAGCTATAATCAATATAAATTGTGAATTTACAAAATAATAAAAGCTGTTAACCCGTGAAGTCACTTGTCCTAGAAAGCACTTAGAAGCTCACACAAAAATCACTTTCAAAGCAGCTTTCTTTTTTGTCAATGTGGCGAATCCACAGGCGCTCGACACGTGCACAGTATATTTGTCTTTCTACTCATTTAAACTAGTTTTGCACAATCTCTTAACCCTCTCACACAAGCGCATGTTAAAGCGGGTGTCTTGTTGTTGCTGTCTCAAGTAATTTGTTGTTATGCCATCTTCACTGTTTTTTCTGTCTGTAAAACTATGGCCTGGGCTAGTGTTATAACTAGGCAATTATGAGAAAAAAAGTCAGAACTGTGTGATAACTCAGATAATTCTGAACTCAGAATTGCAAGATATTAAAGGGATAGTTCACCCCAAAATGAAAATTACCCCATGATTGACTCACCCTCAAGCCATCCTAGGTTGTATATGATTTTCTTATTTCTTTTTAATAAAGGCCTTCAGAAGTGAATCGATGCGAAAAATATCCATATTTAAAACTTTAATTCGCAATTAACTCTAAGATGAATTTGGGGAAGAAAAGTCAGAATCGTTAGAAGAAAAGTTACCTTTTTACTCACAATCACCTTTTTATTCCGTGGTGGAAATAAAACACACACACACACACACACACACACACACACACACAGACAACGAAAAACACACTGAATTGTGAGATCGCCTTTTTCTCTCATAATTCAGAGAAGAAGAAAAAGCCAGAATTGTGAGACATAAACTTGGAATTTTGAGAAATTGCGAGAACTGCAAGAAAAAAAGTCGTAATTGTGAGATAAACAGTCACAATTATTTTATTTGATCTTATTCTATCCAAATTAGATTTTGTTGTATCCT